ATTGTTCATGGGCTGCAAGGAGCCTCCTACCAGCTTGGCAGGAGATCTAAAGTCTTTGTGCACCCAAAGTGCAATCTTTCTTGGGCTCTAGGCCTGGACCTTCAGCTCGCCATCAACACCTGGCCTGAATAATAAAACAGGACCATTTTCTCAATATATATATATAATCAAAACATTCTAGAGTGCACACAAATTCAGTAAGTGGTACTCTTTGCACTACAAATAATTCCAATCAATATGCATTTTCAATAAATATAAAGTTCCATATAAATTACATTCATGAAAAATCCAATAAATATGCACTATATAAATTAGTCAACATGAAATGTAAGAACAACTAATACAAACAAGTGCTCAATAAATATTTAAGGCACCTCATTTTTCACATAGGGTTCTTCAAAGACATCATGAGCTAATATTAAGCCACACAGGAGAAACACTCACCGATTCCATAGTTTGTATGTAACACAAACAGTTTTTTTTTCCATGTCATCTCGGTTAAGTAGTTAGCTCCTGCAGCTCTGCTTCTCCCAACATGCCATAGTCTTTCATACTTCCCCACTCCGACTAATATACCTAACTGATAGGCTGTTGCACATGTGACCCTGATACTCAACAGCAATTGGCTGTGTAGCAATGAGGGGATGGAAGTGAAAAAAAACATACACAGAATGATCACTGGAATCTTTCTCCATTATCTAAACATGTAAATGGAAAATCACTGGGATTTACACCAGGGTTACAGTGGGATGGAGCTGTACTAATGGGAGGTAGAGGTCTGATGGCAGGAGTAGGAACGGGCTGGCTGTAAGGAGGGATGGAGAGGATGAGACTGAAGGTCTTTTATCGTGGTTGATCTTTTCAGCAGGGTGGATGAAGCTCTGAAAGAGCAGAGCTCCTTTTCTCTAACCTGCTCATTTTATCCGTTAATCTTCCCCTGCAGTTTGTGGAAGAGCTCCTCTGAACTCTAAGACTGACTCCAGGATTGTTGGTGGTCAGGATGCATCTGAAGGAGCGTGGCCGTGGCAGGCCAGTCTGGAGATCAGGAACGGACTGTGTGGAGGGTCTCTGATCAACAACCAGTGGGTTCTATCTGCTGCTCACTGTTTTAGCAGGTGAGCACTGATCATGTGACATAAAAAGCTCTTCCTGTTCAGCACCATAGACAGTGACCTCCATCCTTTAACCTATTGTGTTTTCCTCAGCACAAGCACATTTGGAGTCAGTATTTACCTCGGCCGACACAACCGGCAATCGCCCCTGAGCTCTAACGAGTTGAGACGTGGAGCCTCACAGATCATCGTCCATGAAAACTATGACTCCAACTCATTTGACAATGACATCGCTCTGGTGCAGCTGGACTCTACGGTGGACTTCACCAACTACATCCAGCCCGTCTGTCTGGCTGCGGAGGGGAGCGCCTTCCCAGACGGACTGGACGTCTGGGTCACTGGCTGGGGAACCATCCAGAGCGGAGGTGAGGATTGATCTCAGATGCTTCAATCCACATCCAGCTCTGCTAGGGAGCTGATCAGCTGATCAGTTGAGGAGCCTCTGTTCTCTGTTTTATGATTACCTTATGTTTTCCATCTGGATCAGAACCATTCCAGTAAATCTTGGATTCGGGGTTCATTGATGGGTCCGTTCTCTCTCTCTCTGCAGTCAGTCTTCCTGCCCCTCAGACGCTGCAGGAAGTAGATATTCCCATCGTGTCCAACAGTCGGTGTGCCTCATCCTACAGCACCTTAACGGCCAACATGGTCTGCGCCGGTCTGTCTGCTGGAGGGAAGGACGCCTGTCAGGTGAGCTCCTGTTCCTCATTAAAGACACTCTTCAAAGCTCAACTGGACCCAACCTATGTCCTTACTGGGCTGTCATGTCCAGGGAGACCTACTGACCAGCTGCTTACATTTAGCTCTAAGAAGGGCCTCTGGCTATTAAGAGGATGAGTGGGATGGAGGCTCTAAAGATTCAACTGGGTTGATAAGTGGGATAAAGGTCCTAAAGAATGATGAGGAGAATATGTTTTAAAGAGAAAAAAAAAAGGTTACCAGAAAAGACTAGAGGGATGAGTGGGATGAGCTGCAGTGGAAGAGGAACTGAAGAATCACTGGAATGATGATTCTAAAGAGGGACAGGGTAGAAAACAGGAATAAAAGAAATAAAAGAGCCATTTAGGCTAAATGAAATAAAAGCTAAAGAGACTGGGAGGATTGAGTTTATAAAAGGCTGAGAGGATGA